TTTTAGAAACGGGCTTAAGTTGCATCTAAATTAGATTGACAAGGGAATTTACTAAGTTGCAATTCACAGAAATTCAACAAAAGTAATTGCACAATTCATTTTGTCTAATTATTATTTATTATGTATAGTATACATTTGGCAAATGAAGAGCCATCCAAAAAAAATTATAATTTTTTTTATACTTGATTTTTTTTTTCATAGAACTTAAGAATATTTTGTGCAATATTAGTATTAATTTAATAATATTAATTTAATATTAAATATATTTTATATTCAAAGTAAAAAAAAACGTATATTAAATAATCGTCGTAAATAAAGTTTTGAAACTTTTTGCCACATTGTTTTCAGAGAACTTAATAAGAATATTTTGTATTTTTTAAATATTAAATGTAAACATTTTTACTCCATTTCAATTTATAATATATGATATTATGTAATATTATATGTATTTAATATTATATATTTAATATTTTATGACATTAATTACATTTGTTCTGCGATTAATCGTTCTTCAACCATGGTTCATAAAATGAAAATGTGATTAGTTAAATAATCTTTGTAAATTAAGCAATGTTTATACATTTTTGCCACATCGTTTTTAGAGAACTTAATAAAATATGTTATATTTTTTAATATTAAATATTTCTAAAATGTATTATGTGATATATGTAATGTATTATTTAATATTATATGTATCTAATATATTTTGGCATTTTGAATAAATGTATTAACTTTCATTAATTAAAAGCTAGGTTGTTTTTTTTTAAATATTCCATACGGATGTGAATGAACATGTTAGTGAATAAAAATGTTTTAAAAAAGCATTATTAAATACTACATTTACAGTAGTTGCATGCATTTATTTCAATTTCTTTCCATTTTTCTTTTCTTAAATGCAAATACAAATGACTATTCTACATCATGTTCGCTGCCTCAAATCAGATGCACAGCTAAATAATTCACTTCTGAGTGCGTGTGCTTTCTGTGCAGTGTCCAGCTGCAGTTCTGCTCCACACGTCTTTTGCTCTTCAGCTTGTGAATGTCTCTGTGAATGTCTGTCGGTGCGAGCGGCTGTCTGCAGTGGACTTCGCTCTCTATGTGCGTGAGAGATGGGAGAGGACTAGTGTTTATGTACTGTTAGCAGTAGATAGCAGAGTCAAACAAGGACGGGTGGATGTTATTCATCAGCTTTGAGCACCAGAATGGATTGAGGTAGTTGTGGGGAAGTCGTGGCCTAATGGTTAGAGAGTCGGACTCGTAACCCAAAGGTTACGGGTTCGAGTCTCGTACCAGCAGGGATTGTAGGTGGGGGGAGTGAATGTACAGCGCTCTCTCCCACCTTCAATACCACGACTGAAGTGCCCTTGAGCAAGGCACCGAACCCCCAACTGCTCCCCGTGTGCCGCAACAAAAAAATGGCTGCCCACTGCTCCGGGTGTGTGTTCACGGTGTGTGTGTGTTCACTGCTGTGTGTGTGCACTTTGGATGGGTTAAACGCAGAGCACTAATTCCAAACATGGCTCACTATACTTGGCCACATGTAACGTCACTTTTTTTTCACTTTATAAACAAACACAGAGGGCAGAGGGCAGAAACAATGTCCTGACACCTGCTAACCAAGGCTACATTTATTTGATTAAAAATACAGTAAAAACAGTAAAATTGTGAAATATTATCACTATTAAAAAGATTTGTTTTCTATATCAATATAATGTAAAATGTCATTTATTCCTGTGATCAAAGCTGAATTTTTAGCATCATTACTCCAGTTTTCAGTGTCACATGATCCTCCAGAAATCATTCTAATATGCTGAAACATTTCTGATTATTATCAATGTTAAAAACAGTTCAGTTTTATGGAAACTGTGATACATTTGATTTTTCAGGATTTTTTTGATGAATAGAAAGTTTAAAAGGGCGGTGTTGATTTGAAATGGGGATATTTTGTAACATATAAATGTCTTTACTGTCACTTTTGATCAATTCAATGCATCCTTGCTGAAAAAAAAAACTGTACAATTGAATCAAAATAATAATTTTTGAACTTTTAAATTGTAGTGTAGTTCAGCCCCTGCTGGTCAATGTTGCAACTGCAACATTCAAAAATCAAAAAAGGTTGTTTTTCCATTGATGGCCATTTTAAAAGTAGTAGCCTAATGTATCTTTGAAAAACAACTGCATATAAAAAAATAGGATATAAACAAAAGTAAGCAAACATATATGTGTTGCTGTCTGCTGTGTGTTTGAGTTACTCACTACTGTTGACTCAAAGGAATCAGGTATTTTCAACCAGTTCTTTCCAACAAACTGTCCAAACAAACAGACTGACTCAAATAAACCAGGCTTCCCGATTCTCTTCCTCACTGCTGGCGGCTTCAGAGGGATTTAGTGTTTTCAGGGAAGATCAGAATTCCTGATCGGATGAAGTCCTGGACCGTGGAACAGTCCAGAAGCACACAGCCAATAGAAAGCTGCTCCTCGCGCTAAATCCTATTAGTGGCTCTTATCTGCAGTCCGCTGCTCCTTAAAACTCTCCGTAACCGCACACAGAAAAAGAGATGTATACTATATATATATATGTATAATAAATGTAAATGTAAAATATTAAGGAAATGAAGGAAAAAGGTAGAAGAACAATGTTAATAATAATAATAATAATACAATTATTTGTATTAATAATATTATATAATAATAATAAAATTAAAAACAGAATACAATGTCTCTATCCAAATATAATATATGATAATAAGACAAATATAATGCAATAAAATATGAAAACAAAGTGACTTGAGTGTCCAAGTATTATACTATTATAGTTTTCATTACAATTAATAATAATATTAATGTTTTGAATTCATTTTAAATATATATTTCTGTTTTAATTTTAGTTAAGGTTTCATTCATTTTGTTGTGAGTTTTTGTCAGTTTTAGTAGTTTTTTTATATATAATGTCTATATCATTTTTTATTAATTTTTATTTTAGTTTAAATTTTAGTTATTGTGCTTGTGGTGTTTCTGTACAGTAAACAGTACTTGCTTGTCAAATGCGGTGACATTCAGAGTCTGAGACTTTAATAGCTGCTCATTTTATGGCAGATGTTGGTTTTGTGTCAGTTTCGCTGACGTCCGTTGCTCACGGCTCGTTTCACCTCTTATCAGTGCTCCTATCAG